GGGCGCGGGAGATGTCCGCGAGCCGGGCGCCCCGGTGCTGGGACCGGACCGGAGCGAGGTCGCTTGGCGGCGCGCGCGCCGGGAGCCGGGGAGATCCTGCCTCCGGGGGAGCCTGGCTCTGGCTGCCGGCCTCGTGGGCTCCTTCCTGGCCCGGGGCTGGCCTGGGAGGTAAGGGGGGGGGTGGCTCTGGCACATCATCACGCGCCCCCCTCCCCACTCTGCCCGCCAGCGTCCCCTCCAGCCGGACCTCTCAACCGACCACCCTGTCCCGGGCGCATCAGCCTCTCCACTGCTTCTAAGCCCAGATCTGGGGAGCTGGACATCCTCACTCCTCAGCCCAGGGATGGAAAGCAGCCCCTTTGCCCTGGGTCCTGCGGGCTGTGCAGCCCCCTCCCCTGCCCCAGATCACTTTCCCACACTGGAGTCTTCAGGGATAACCTCATTATCGCATCTCTAGCTCTTGGGGGGGGGCGGGTACCTGGCACTGGGTAAGGGGGTGGGTGGTGGGGTGACAGATGGACTGGGGCGAAGGATGCCACAGAGGAGTGGGAGGTGGCAAGGCACTCTCTCCCCTCCTTCCCCCACCGAGGGAGCTGAGCCCGGTGCTGCGAGTCCGTGGGAGTTTGGCTACTGAGCATCTTGTAATTATGGAAGCCATGGAGTAGGTGGTGGACTGGAATCCAGGAGCTACCCCAGGGGGCAATAGTCATCACCTGTTAGCCTTGGGGACAGCTCACACACATGCTCCTTAGTGGGAAAGGGCCAGAAAAGAGGCTGAAACCAAGTCCCTCTTGCCCCGGGGCTGAGAGGGAGCTGGCTCTGGCTGCTTCCAGCCACCTGCTCCCACTCTGAGGATCGAGGGGGGGGGAGCCCTAATGGCCCCTTCCACAGGGACAGGAAAGCCTGGTCACATCCATTATGCAACAGCATCAATCCCATTTCCACAGTTTCCACAGCCCTCCCCGGTCCACAGGTCACCCAATGATCCCTGCCAGTTCTACAGGTGGAGGGCATTAGTAGGTATTCCTGGCCATCCCAGAATATCCATGATCAACCCATCTTTCATTGGGTATAGCGTGGATGTTAAATCCCTGGAAGCTTCTCCAGGGGGAGCTTCCTAGTTCGGGGGTGGTGGTGGTGATGATGGTGGTGGTAAGGGCAGATTCAGTATTAGCTAAGCTAGTTAGGTAAGCTCTTAAGTTGGCAGACAGAGAGATAACTAATTCAGAAGCCAGGAAAGCAGTATGGTGTGTCCCTGTGGTCCTAGCTACTAGAGGGACAAACCTAGGAGTCTGAGACCATCCCGTGCAACACTGAGAGACCCTGGCTCCAGAAGAAAGAGAGAGAGGGAGACCAGCAGGGCTTCCTCAGAGGGGATTGGCCGAAGGGTGAATGATCAAGGAGGACTTCCTTGAGGAAGCCAGATTTACTCTTGACCCTCAAGGAGGAAGGAGGTACCACCAGGTAGAAGAGGAGAAATTCAGTCCAGGAGTGAAGTCCCCAGGGCATGCCGTTGCATCCTGAGGCGGAGAAATAGATGGAGAAGCGGGGTGGTCTAATGGTCAGTGTCTCAGCTGGACTCCCAGCTCCATCATTTCCGTATGGGACTGCAGGAAGGCCCCTGAACCTCATTTTCTAAATCCACAAAACGGGGTTCATCGTAATAGAACCCGAGTCTCAGAGTTATGAAAACTGAAGTGATGTAAGTAAAATGTCTAAAGCAGTGCCTGTCTACGGTTATTGTTAACCATTATAATGGCTTGTGCTAACAAACCAAGATGGTCTTAGTGATCCTTTGTCCATTTGGTGATTGAATAATTTATCTCCCTGAGCCCGTGGGTTCCCATCACCAGGGCACTTCACAGACCTCTCTGAACCCCTCCCCCCAAGTCCAACTCTTGCACTCTGGTACCCAATTGGTAAAGGAAAGAAGGTAGCTAGGAGGGATAATTTGGGTTGCTATGGTAATGGTGGGGTGGGGGTAGGGAGTGAAGCATTGTTTAGCCAAGGCCTGCCAAGGACCCAGGGTCAGATAAAGGGTTGCTACTTCTACAAAGCTTATCTCCAACCTTTTTTTTTTGTTTTTTGTTTCTGTCAGTCATGGGGCTTGAACTCTGGGCCTGGGCACTGTCCCTGAGCTCTTCAGCGTATGGCAAGCGCTCTACCACTTGAGCCACCACACCACTTCCCTGTTTTGTTTTTTAACTGCATAGGCATTATATGGGGAAAGTCATGACCCCCACCCCCATCCCCATACCCTAATACCAGAGTCAAGGAGAGACAATGAGAGATTCAAATCCTGGCTTTGTTATATCCTACCCGTATGAGGTTCTTTATGCATTACCTCATCTATGAAATGGAGAGGTCTCCCTACCTTCTTGTGGGGGGGCGGGGGGCAGATGGGATATTTACAGTGCAGTTCTTCCTTCACTACCTGCCACCACCATCTCTACTCTGTGTGTGTGTGTGTGTGTGTGTGTGTGTGTGTGTGTGCGCGCGCGCGTGCGTGCCAGTGATGGGGCTTGAACTCGGGCTTTGCTCTCTCACTTGACCTTTCACTCAAGTCTGGCGCTTGAGCAACACCTCTACTGATTTTTGGCTGGTTAATTGGAGCTAAGAGTCTCACAGACTTTCCTGCCTAGGCTGGCTTTGAACTTTGATGCTCAAATCTCAGCCTTCTGAGTAGCTAGGGTTACATGAGCCACCACTACCTGGCCATCTCTACCCTTCATTCCTCTCCAGTGAACTGTGATCAGGCCCACCAGGACCCCATCTACCTGCCAGTGGCCCTGGAGCTCCTGGATACCCCCGAACATTTTCGCGTGCAGCGGGTAGGCCACTACCCACCTGCCAACTCTTCTCTGAGCTCACGATCTGAGACCTTTCTGCTCCTGCAGCCCTGGCCCAGGGCCCAGCCACTTCTCCGGGCCTCCTACCCACCATTTGCCACCCAGCAGGTAAGGAGGGGCAAACAGGACTCAACCTGAGATCCACTGTGTGTGTGGCTCAAGGGCTTTCCCCAACCTCTCTTGTGCTCTTTATTTTCCAGACAGGGAAAAACGGAGGCCCATAAAGGTTGAGAATAGAAGTTTCTCATCCCAGATGTCCTCCTGCCCTTCTATGCCAATCTTCCTCATTCTTCCTCCAGGTGGTCCCTCCCCGTGTCACTGAGCCCCACCAACGGCCAGTGCCCTGGGACGTGCGGGCTGTTTCAGTGGAAGCGGCTGTGACTCCAGCAGAGCCCCATGCCCGAGTCCTCTTCCACCTCAAAGGACAGGATTGGCCTCCGGGGCCTGGCAGCCTGCCCTGTGCCCGGCTATATGCCACCCACCCTGCAGGCACTGCCCACCGAGCCTGCCGCTTCCAGGTGAGTGGGCTGGCCCCGCTGCCGTGCCAGCCAGTGGTTGCCCCAAGGTAGAGAGGAAAGGCAAGTCTGGGTTGTGAACCACCAGAATCCCTTTCTGCTCCATTCACTGTCAGTTAGTCCTGAGAAAGGATTAGTGAGGACCCTTTAAGAAGTCTGGGACATCGTGTGTGACTTTGAGCAAATAGTCTCTCTGAGACTGTTTCCTTATCTGTAAAAGGGTGGTAATGACAATCCCCAACTTATAGGGGGCTGGCAAAGGAATAACCAAGGTGAATACAAGAACTGCTTATAGCAAAGCAATCATGGGTCTTGCTAGAATTATGTCAATCATTTCGATTCCTGTTCTTTGGGAGTCTGGCACAGGAATGTAACGGAGAGTGCTATTTCTCAGGTTTTAGGGAAGAAATCTGAGCTCTAGGTGGGGTGGTCCTGGGCCCTGCTCAGGGCAAGGTGCCGGGGCCGGCTAGCTCAAATGAGACTAGACTGAGATGTGTTCTGAGATTGAGACCTGGTATGAGGCCCCTATGTGTCACTGGTCCCTCACGTCACTTGGACTATGTCCCTGGCCTGCCTTTCATGCACCTCTCTAGCTTGGGGTCCCTGGTATAGATAGGGGTTCTCCCCTCACTCTGCCCTGAGCCAACCACAAACCTCATCTTCACAGCCATCCCTGGGCGCCTGCGTGGTGGAGCTGGAGTTCCCCTCGCCCTGGTTCTCCCAGGGCTCCACCACGCGGGCCGAGCTGGCCTACACGCTGGAGCCTGCCGCCGAGGGTCCTGGGGGCTGTGGCCCTGGCGGGGAGGAAGACCCTGGGGAGCAGGCCCTCCCGGTGGGCAGTGTGGAGCTGCACTCAGCAAACCCCCCGCAGTACCAAGAGGTACCCCTGGATGACGCAGTGACTCTGCGGGCGCCTGACGTGCCAGTGCGGCCCGGCCAGCTTTTTAGTGCCACCCTCTTGCTCCGACACAACTTCACCGCCAGCCTCCTGACCCTGAGGTGAGCACTGGGTCCCTGGGGGTAATAGGCAAGCAGGGCCTTCTGCAAGAAGATGAGTGGGGACTTAACTCATCATCCCCTGGCTGGGTACAAGGTTGCAGGATGGGTGACGGGCACAGCCCGGCAGTAGGATGTCACCTCCTTCTCAGGCACTTCCCTGAGCGCCTCTGTTTCAAGAAGAGGAAATAGAGCCAGGCACTGGTAGCTCACGCCTGCAATCCTAGCAACTCAGGAGGCTGAGGTCTGAGGATCACAGTTCAAAGCGAACCCCGGGCGGGAAAGTCCTCAAGACTCTTATCTCCAATTAACCACCAGAAAATGGATGGCTCAAGTGGTAGAGAGCTAGCCTTGACCACAAAAGCTCAGAGACAGCATCCAAGCCCAGCATTCAAGCCCCACAACTGACGGAAAGAAAAAAAAAAAGAGAAAATAGGATGGCTCAGAACCTGGAATCCATGTGCCTAGAGCTGTGTTGTTGGTCCCTTGATATAGAGACTGGGGTATCTCTCCAGTCCCATTCAATCTGCCTACCCTGCTGCCTTCATGTATGAAGAGTCTCCCAGTGAAGAGGTGAAGGGAGCTAGATAGACAGAAACTAAGTGATCAAAAGGCCTGGGGGGAGGGAAGGGTTTGTGGATGCACTGGTGAAAGTTTGCCATGCCATGGGGTAGTTGAGCCAGTGGGGCAGTCTAAAGGAAATTCATCCAGTACTGCCTAAGTTTCCTAAAGGAAATGGTATTTGAGTCCTTGGGAACTTAAAGGGTCAGCAGAGAAGCAGGGCAGACCGAGCAAACCCAAGTCACAGCCTGAGCAGAGGCTTGGGGTCATGAGTGTACCTTGTTTCTGTGGGAAGAATTTCTGCATGGAAAAAAAAAATATCTCAGCCCCAAATGAGGTTGGGTTAGGGCCTGGAGAGACTCCAGGGCCAGCCCAAGGCTCCAGCTTGAAGGTAGTAAGGAATCATGGTGGTCTTTAGTGGTGGGAAAAAAGTGTGGTCTGACCTTCACTGAGACAAGGTCATTCTGGGAGGGGATAGGAGGAGACTAGGACCAGATTACAGGAAGCCAGACAGGAGGCTGATGGCGCCCCTTTGGATTCCAGTCCTCAGTTCAGCCCTTCCTCTGACAACTTGAACCTATAACCCCTGCCCAGGATCAAGGTGAAGAAGGGACTGCATGTAACAGCAGCCCGCCCCGCCCAGCCCACCCTCTGGACCGCCAAGCTGGACCGCTTCAAGGGTTCGAAACACCATACTACCCTGATCACCTGCCACCGTGCAGGGCGCACAGAACTGGATTCTAGGTGAGTTGAGAAAAGAGGTCGGGCTCTAGAGGCCAGTGAGCAGATTTGGAGGCCCAAGAAAGCAACAGGAAGATCAGAGAGCCAAGCAAGCACTGGAGGAGGTGGTGAAGTGGTTCTGTAGATACCCCCCACCCCAAAGAAGTAGAGCTGGAACTCAGGGCCTGGACATTGTCCCTCAGCTCTTTTGCTCAAGGCTACCTCTCTACCACTTTGAGCCACAGCGCCACTTCCGGTTTTCTGGTGCTTAATTGGAGATAAGAGTCTCATGGACTTTCCTACCCAGGCTGGCTTTGCGCCATGATCCTCCGATCTCAGCCTCCTGAGTAGCTAGGATTCTAGGCGTGAGCCACCAGTGCCTGACTGGCTCTGAGATCTTGAGAGACCAAGACTGGGTAAGAGTCAGGATGTTTGGCTTTAGGGCTCAGCTGTACCACTTCCGTTGTGCGCTCTCATAACTTGACGCCTCGGCTTCCTCATCGGTAAAATGGGGAGAATTGAGATTCCTGTGTCTCAAGCCCAGGAAGTCCCTGGCTGCTAGCAAACACGCAGCTCCTCTCTCTTCTGGCCAGCAGTCCCCTTGAACTGTCTGAGTTCCTATGGGTGGATTTCATGGTGGAGAATGGCACTGGCGGAGGTGTGGCTGTCACCCGACCTGTAACTTGGCAGCTAGAATACCCAGGCCAGGCGCCGGAAGCCGAGAAGGACAAAATGGTATGGGAAATCCTCGTGTCCGAGCGTGACATAAGAGCCCTTGTGCCCCTGGCTAAGGTAAGGAGTCTCTGTCTGTGCCTGGCTTGGTTGGGAGCCCCAGGGCCTGGGGTTGAGCAATTCCTCCATCCTCAGGCCGAGGAGCTGGTGAACATCGCACCCCTGACCGGGGTGCCTCGACGTGTCCCTGTGCGCCTCGTCACTGTAGATGCTGGGGGGGCCTTGGAGGAAGTGACGGAACATGTCGGTTGTGAGTCAGCCAACACGCAGGTCCTGCAGGTGAGTGGCAGGCACTCATGTGCAGGGAACATGCATTTGTATGGGTGCAGTCATGCATTCACGGCTCTCTTCCTTCGACCGTGGGTCCCCAAGAGAGTAGCTTCTCAACCCCAAAACCTCACAGGCAGCACTAGGGCTTCAAGTTTTGTTCCAATTTCAAGCGGGAGCTATGCAACCAGCCTTGAGCATTTTATTAGCAAATGGGCTGAGCTGGGAGAGCTAAGAGCATGCACGTTGGGATCAGGAAGTTTTAGCACCAGGGCACCTGTGGCTCACACCTGTAATCCTAGCCACTCAGGAGGCTGAGATATGAGGATCAAGGTTCCAAGCCAGTTCTTGGAAGCAAAGTCTGTGAGACTCATCTCCAATTAATCACCAAAAAGGCCCAAATAGAGCTATGGCTCCACTAGTTGAGTGCCAGCCTTGACAGGAAAAGCATGAAGTCCTGAGTTCAAGTTCCAGTACCCACACAATTAAATTTTTTTTAATAAATTGTAATTATTAAAAAAATAAATTGTTGGGCTGGGAGGGTGGCTCAGTGGTAGAGCACTTGCCTTGATGCCTGAGGCCCTGGGTTTGATTCCTCAGCACCACATAATGCAAAAAGAAAAAAGCCGGAAGTGGCACTGTGGCTCAAGTGGTAGAGCGCTAGTCTTGAGCTGAAGAGCTGAGAGACAGCGCCCAGGCCCAGAGTTCAGGCCCCACTACAGGACCCCCCCCCAAAAAAATTGTTCTTACTAAGGTGCTATACAGAGAGATTCACATTTCACAAGTCAGGTAATGAGTATATTTCTTTTGGGGCAATGTCATCCCTTCCTTCACTCCCAGCTACACAAAAAATATTTTTTAAAAAAGTTTTAAAAGGGGGGCTGGGAAGGTGGCTCAGTGGTAGAGCGCTTGCCTTGCATGCCTGAGGACCTGGGTTTGATTCCTCAGCACCACATAATGCAAAAAGAAAAAAGCCGGAAGTGGCGCTGTGGCTCAAGTAGTAGAGCGCTAGCCTTGAGCTGAAGAGCTGAGGGACAGCGCCCAGGCCCAGAGTTCAGGCCCCATGACCGGACCCCCCACCCCAAAAAAAAGTTTTAAAAGGATGTTTTAGCAAAAACCCATGTTTGTTATCAGCTAGCTGTATGACTTGAGGCAAGTCTCTTAACTTCCCTGAGCCTCACTCGGTTTCCTAATTACATGAGACGCCATCTTAGTGTTCTTGTAGGAATTGAAAGCAGCTAATACAGCATCCACCTACTGCTGTTGTGATAGTATGAGTATGATAGATAATTATAATAATAATTTCTGTTTGAACTTTGTGATGAGCGCTGAGCTTTTGAGTTTTGGAGAGAGAAGCTTGGAACCTGCAGTTTCACAAGGGCCACCCGCCTGGAGAAGGTGTCTTTTTCCTACCTGTGGCTGAAGTGCTCGTTGGTGTGGATCTTGCGTGGGGCCACTTGAGTGGGTGTTCCTGCCTTGTCCTTCCATCCCCCTTCTCCACAGAGCTGTACCTGGTTGTCACATGACTCCAGAACTAGTGTCCAAGGCAGACATCCCGCTCTGCCAGGAGGAGGGCTGTGTTATATATGCGTGGCCACTCTCCCCAGCAGAGACCCGGGAGAATCTGTAGCATGTCCCAGTGGCTGGGTGTAGATAGGGGGTGGAGTTTGGTTGTGTTGCAACACCTTGAACTAGTGACAGTGGCCAGACCCACCAGTCCACCCCGACATGCATCAGTGAAATCCAGAACTGAATTTCAGCCTTTCCTGTTGTTATTGTCCCCCACCCCCTGGGGGAGGGAGTGTGTTTTTTGTTGCCAAGACTGAGACTTGAACTCAAGGCCTCACACTCTTGCTTGCTTTTTTTTTTTTTTTTACTCATGGGTGACATTCTACCACTTAAGCCACACCCAGTCTTCCAGCCTTATTTGTGTGGGGTGGGGTGGGGTGGGGTTGTGGGGCTTGAATTCTGGGCCTGGGCGCTGTCCCTGAGCTGAAGAGTGCTCTACCACTTGCCCCACAGCACCACTTCTGGTTTTCTGGTGGTTAATTGGAGGTAATAGTCTCACAGACTTTCCTGCCTGGACTGGCTTTGAACTACGATCCTAAGATCTCAGCCTCCTGAGTAGCTAGGATTATAGGCGTGAGCCATGGGTGCCCGGCTTCAACATTTTTTTTTTTTTTGCCAGTTAATTGGAGATCAGAATCTCAAGGGTTTGTTTTCCCCAGGCTGACTTCAAACCTTGATTCTCAGAGCTCAGCCTCCTGAGTTAGCGAAGATTACAGGCATGAGTCAGGAGCTTCAGTCCTGCTGATAGCCAGGGTCAAGGATGCTCGCTGTGACACATATCTGTCTTCTGTGTCTTAGCACACCTCCTTCCTCCTGCCCTCCCATAGGTATCTGAGGCCTGCGATGCCGTGTTTGTGGCTGGTAAGGAGAGCCGGGGTGCCAAGGGGGTGCGAGTGGACTTCTGGTGGCGCCGGCTCCGGGCCTCACTGCGCATGACGGTGTGGGCCCCGCTGCTGCCCCTGCGTATCGAGCTGACGGACACCACCCTGGAGCAGATCCGTGGCTGGAGGGTCCCAGGCCCAGCTGAAGGGTGAGTGCAGGTCTATGGGAGCTGGCAGGCCTAGGCAAAGCCCCTCTGGGACTGAGGGCACTGGGGGTATAGCCATGGACCCAAGCTAGGGGCTGAGACACTGCTCAAGGTCAACAGTTAGTGATCCCCCCCCCACCTCATTCCTACCTGTCTCCCCATGCCCTGGCTCCTTTGCATACCTGTTAGACTAACATTATTTTTGCTTGTTTTCCACCCCATATTCTCAGCCCCTGAGAATGTAAGCTGTTGAAGGCAGGCAGGGCTTGGCAATACACTGGAGGTGGAAGCTCACTGGAATCGAGGGGGTGAGAGGCCTGAGCCTCTGGAAGGAACCTCCCCTCCCTCCCCCAAAGACTTCAGAGGCCAGTGACAAGGCCTCGATAAACACTGTCCCAATCAGGGTTGGCTGCTGACTGACAGGAGACTCTGTACGTGTGCATACGCGCATACATGTGTGTACACTAGGGTTTGAACTTGATTTGAGTGCACACCTCCACTTCCATCTTTTTCCTGGAGTGAAGAGTCAATTTGTCTGCTGGGGCTGGCTTCCAACCTTGATCCTCAGATCCTAGCCTCCAGAGTAGCTAGGATTACAGACTGGAGCCACTTCTGCCCTGCTAGGAACCTCAGGATGGGCAGGGCCAAGCTCTGGATAGAAGCTGGAGCGAGGGGGTGTGGCCTCCAGTAGACAGGGCCTGAACTCTGGTCCTTGTCTGGTCCTTGTTGTACCACGCACTTCCTGACCTTCTCTCTCCCTCCCTCGCAGGGCCTCTGAGCCCGAGGCCGGGGGAGCTGAGGAGGTGGAGCAGCGCGCCCGCAGCTGCCGCCTGCAGTACCAGCGCGCAGGCGTGCGCTTCCTGGTGCCCTTTGTGGCCCACCCATTGGATGGTGGCCGCCGCCTCACCCACCTGCTCGGCCCTGATTGGCTGTTGGATGTGACCCATCTCGTGGCGCCCCAGGCCCGCGTGCAAGACCCTCGGGTAGCCTTCCTGGAGGGAGGCCACACGGTGGTGGGCCGCGAACCTGGTGTCACCTCCATAGAGGTGAGCCCACCGAGGACGCTACAGAGCAGCCTCCATTCCCCCCGCCCCAGAGCGCAGGTGTCCCCAGAATGGTCTGGGTGTGGCCTGGGTCCAGAGGCAAGGTCCAGGATTGGGGATTGAGTGCGGATGAAGGAGGGGGGACTGTGTAATGGGGGAGTCCTCTAGGTATGAGGGACTGGGATGTTGGGGTGTGGGAGCCAGGTCTTCCTGGTGGAAGGAGAGTCCCCCCTGAGTGTGGAGTCGAGATGTGTATATAGATAAAAGTTGGGGTGTGGAGGTAGAGGAAGGCAGCTAGCCAGGATCCCTTAAGAGGAGGCATCTGTCCGGGAAGGACCCCCACCCACCCCCCCTCTGTCTCCTCCCCTCCCCATCTTCAGGTGCGTTCTCCACTCTCCGGTTCCATTCTGGGGGAGCAGGCACTGGCTGTGACGGATGACAAGGTCTCGGTGCTGGAGCTGCGGGCACAGCCCGTGACGGGCATCTCACTGGCCCTGAGCCGGGGCACTGCCCACCCTGGGGAGGTGACAGCCACGTGCTGGGCACAGCCAGCCCCTCCCGCCCCGAAGCAGGTGACCGTGGGGGATGGGGGATGAGGAGTCCTACACCTTGCAATGGGGACTGATGGTAGAGAACTGGAAGAGGGCCCTGGTACCTGGATCCATCTTACCTCAGGGTTTTCAGATGACTGACTCCCCTGTGAGGTAGTGAGCTCTCTGTGGCTAGAGGTGACCAAGCAGCGGCTGGCTAGAGTGTGGGAGTGGGGGGGGCCGTGTTGACTAGATAGCTCTATCTGAGGACACTCTGGAGGAGTCAGACCCACACCCTAACACCCCCTCCCCTACCCCGAGGCCGAGTGGCAGACAGGTGATTGACACACGTCCCCTCTTCTCCCTGTGTTTGTCTGCCTGTGTCTCTCTGTTTTCTCTCTGATCTCTCCTGCGTGTGGCCTGTCTCTGTGGGAGTGAACTCTGTGTGCATGCTTGCGTGCCCGCGCGTGTCTCTTGCCTGTGTCTGTGTGCCCTGCAGGAGGTGGCCCTTTCCTTATGGCTGTCCTTCTCTGATCACACCTTGGCTCCAGCCGAGCTCTACGATCGCAGTGATCTGGGCCTGACCGTCTCAGCTGAGGAACCCACTGCTGTCCTGCCGGCCAAGGAGCAGGGTGCCCAGCTTGGGGTGCTGGTGAGTGGGGCCAGTGCCGAGGGACTGCCCTTACAAGTCTCTCTGTACCCACCTGAGCCCTGCCGCCGAGGCCGCCACCGTGTGCCCCTGGCTTCTGGCACTGCCTGGTTGGGGCTCCCCCCTGCCCCCACCCCGGTCCCTGCCCTCCCATCCGATCCTGCCTTGAGTTCACTCGCGACGGAGGCCAGCGTTGGGGGCAGGCGGCTGGTGGGGGGCAGCGTGGGGGGCAACGTGGGGGTGAGGGGCAAATTTGAACAAGCAGAGGAAAAAATCAGAAAGGAGGAGACAGAGGTCAGAGAGGAAGAAGAGGAGGAGGAAGAGGAAGAGATGGTGCCAGCCCCTCAACGTGTCACCGACCTCGAGCTGGGCATGTATGCCCTGCTGGGCATTTTCTGTCTGGCCATCCTGATCTTCCTGGTCAACGGCGTGGTCTTCGTGCTACGCTATCAGCGTAAAGAGCCTCCGGACAGCTCGGCGAACCCCGCCTCCCCCCAGCCCCACAACTGGGTGTGGCTGGGTACCGACCAGGAGGAACTGAGTCGCCAGCTGGACCGGCGGCCCCCTGGGCTGCCCAAGGGGGAGGGGGGCTGCCCCTGTGAAAATGGAGCAGGAGGGGAGACCCCAACTTCCGTCTCCAACCCTCCTGGGGACGCTCCTGGTTCCTCCAGCACCCTGGCCCGGAAGGAAGCCGGGGGGCGTCGGAAGCGGGTGGAGTTTGTGACGTTTGCACCAGCGCCCCCAGCCCAGCAGCCCGAGGAGCCCGTGGGGGCCCCAGCCGTGCAGTCCATCCTGGTGGCGGGCGAGGAGGACATCCGCTGGGTGTGCGAGGACATGGGGTTGAAGGACCCTGAGGACCTTCGTAACTACATGGAGAGGATCCGGGGCAGCTCCTGACCCGTCGGATCCAGCATGACTGCTCACCAGCCACGGGCAGCAGGGGTGGGTGAGGAGGGTCCCGCTGAGCCTCCCCTACCTGGCCCTCCATGCTCTACTTTTGGTGCTCGTTGATCCACATCCCCTGCCTGGTCCCCTCAAGAAACTCCCTTCCCATCCCACCTCCGCCTCACCCTTGTCATGGTCCATGATGGAGAGGAAGAGCTTATGTCTCTTATTTATGGGAACCACTCTATCCTAATGTCGGGTACAAAATAAACAGAGAAGGAAGTCAACACTGCTGGGCCCATTCTGCTGCTCTGTCGATCCGGGTGGAGAGAAGGGCAGGGGTGGAGGGCGGTGAATCAGCCCCTGTCTCTGCTGGAGCAGTTCTGGGAAGCTGTGCCCTGGCGAATCCTCTCATAGCGATGAGCAATCCAGATAAATAGGAGGGCCGTGGTGGCCTGGATACCAGCCAGCAGAAAGAAGTAGTTGTCCATCCGGCACTTGTTGATGTTCCCTAGAAAGGAGGATTGGCATTGGGTCAGGGAAAGGTTCCTTGCCTTCGTCCCGCGCCCAGCCACAGCCAGGCCCTCGGATGGGCAGCTGGAGCCATGTGGATATTGGCTGGAATTGGAGAATAAGCGGAGAGCGCTCCTGGATCTGACTGCCCCATTGTCTCCTGGGGTTTCGATAATGGAAATAAATACAAGAAAAGTGACTGCTCAGCTGGCAGGGCAGAATTCCAGAAGCCTGAAAAGGCCTCCGTGGGCCAATGAGTCCATTGCTCTGTGTGTGTGGCGGGGGGGGGTACCATAAAGTAGGGCTTAAACTTAGGGTTTCATGCTCTCCCTTGGCTTTTTCACTCAAGGCTGATGCTCTACTGCTCGAGCCACACCTCTGCTTCCAGCTTTTTGATGCCTAATTGGAAATCAGAGTCTCCTGGACTCTTCTGCCCAGGCTCACTTTCAACTCAGCCTCCTGAGTGGCTAGGATGATAGGCGTGAACTACCAATTGCCTGGCTCCGATGCTTCCTTTTTGACAGCTGGGGAAACCAAGATCCTAGGCATGATGCCATGCTACGCTGTGGTGAATGGCCAAGTTGGGGCTACCAAGCCCCCCTCTGCCCATGCCCTCTCCAGGGAGCCCTGGCACTCACCAAAGTCATCGGGGCAGTGCATCCAGCCTCCTGGCAAGGACAGCAAGGCCACCAAGCTGGAGCCCAGCAGGGAGCCCACGCCTGACAGGCAGAAGAAGATGCCCATGATGGCGCCCTGCATGGAGCGTGGTGCCTCCGAGTAGGCGAACTCCAGGCCTGAGGAGAGGAAGCCGAGAGGGCCCAGGGGCTGCTGGGGGCATGGGGACCGAGACCAGCCCAGGAGCAGCCCCCTGCAAGTCTCCGTCCCAGGTCCCCCAAGCGGTGATGCCAACTCTGATGTGGCACTCTGCTCTGCTTCTGGCTGACACTTCCCCCAGGATGCTCCAAGCAAGGCCAAAGCTCCAGCTCCCCCCCCCCCCGGTTCACACACACACATGCACACGTACACGCACACGCACACACATGTCCCAGGTCTTGAACTTGGTTCCCAAGTGCTGTCCCTTAGCTGGGGCTCTACCACTTGAGCCACAACTCCACTTCCGCTAAATCATTTTGATTCACTCTTCAAAGTGTCCGCTGCATGCTCTTCTCCCTGTATCCTCTGCCCAGCTCCAGTCACTTCCTGCTGACCCCCAGACCCCCATCCTCCACACGCAGCCAGGTGGGATGGGTCTGTCCTAGCGCTCACAAGTCCTTTGCCCAAATCCCTGGAGAGTGAACAAGGTGCTGAAGTCCTCAAGGAAATGCCATGGTGTAGACTCTGTGTGACCTTACCACCTCTCCCCACCCCAACGCTAGTCCCCAGCCCACCGGCCTTCATTCCCCATCTGGGGAGGCCTTGTTTATTCTGTCCCCTATGCCTCTCAGTCCTTCCTGCGCCTGCTGAACTCCACCTCCCAGGAAGCCCTGCTCACCTGCTCATCTTGCCCAAGGAGCCCCCATATCCTACCACAGTCCCCTCTGCTGGGTTTATTCTGTGTGCCCATACCCCTGAGTGAAATCCCAGGAACACTATTATTATTATTATTATTGCTGGTCGTGCGGCTTGAACTCTGGGCCTGGGTGCTGTCCCTCAGCTCTTCAGCTCAAGGCTAGCGCTCTACCTCTGGAGTCACAGCTCCACTTCTGGCTTTTTGGTGGTTCATTGGAGATAAGAGTCTCACAGTTTCCTGCCTGGGCTGGCTTTGAATTGTGAGCCTCCAATCGCAGCTTTCTGAGTGGCCAGGATTACAGGGGTGAGCTACCTTTGGCTGGCCTACCTTTGGCTGGATACTTTTGTCACAAAGTTCTAAAAGCCTCCCCCAATCCCCAGCCTAGCAGAAGAGCCTGCCCCAGACTTGTAGCTCTCTGCCCAGTTGGAAGCAGGTAGGCACACAGAGATATGAGAGCTGTACAGAGTGCTCTGTGTGGGAAGGGACGACCCTCCTGCCCAGGGGCCTTGGCACTGCGGCTTGGAATTGAATTGGAAATAGGAACTCATCTCCAAATGAAGACAGAGTGCAAAAGCAGCCGAGGATTGTGGGGCCCTGTGGGAGGTGCTTTCTACCTCCAGGTCCCCAGGGCCTCCCACGGTGTCTGGTGCCAATCCATGCCCCCAGTCCCTCCTGGGGTTGCTGGGGCTGCTGCCCACTGCAGCATCATGGGCCCTTTGATCTGCAGACATCATGGGGCAGAGCATTTGCCATGATGTAGGAACAGGGGCCCAGGGATCTGGTGTACCTGGGATGCTGGCGAAAATCTCGCTGATCCCAATGAGCAGGTACTGGGGGATCTGCCACCAGATGGACAGGGGCGCTGCAAAGTACACGTCCTTCCCGATCCACTGGGACACCGTCTCGTTAGCAGCAATGTACTGTAAGCGCTCCCTCTCCAAGACTCCTTTAATGGGACAACAGAGAGATAACAGCCAGGGCCACTCCGGCTAGGACTAGCCCAAGGCAGAGATTAGTAGGTGGTGGGTGCTATTAAGTAACCAAAGATTGACTGGGTAGCAGGAAAGAGAAACAATACTGGCCTGGAGAATACGTGTGAGAGTGGGGAATCAAGATTTGGATTCCAACCTGTCCCTTTTTGCCTTGGCTGCTAGGAAACTCAGGTTTTGTGCTCAGTTGCAAGTCTCATTCATCAAGGAGCTGTTAAGCATTCTGATCATTGAAAGTGACACTGAGGTTGAACAAGAAGCCCAGCAGCACACAGCTGATAAACAGTCAGGGTTGGATCTGTGGAGCCAGAATATCTGGTTTCAAAAGCTGGCCTACTTTCTCTGATCACATGATGCTTCTGTGGTAACATCAAGGATTGCAGCAGTGTCTCTAACCTGGCTTCTCAGTTTAATTATTTTGTTTCCGTTCCTTCACTGTTTGGAAAGCACCTTTGCTTTAGTGGAAAGACAGTTGCAGGATTTGAGTTGCATTCCTAATCCTACTCCAGCTTGCTTCACTTGAGATTCAGTTCCCTTCTACAAGAAGTAGGAATAACATTTTCTGGGTTATCGTGAGGATGGAGGAGGATAAAATGCATTTAAGCAGTAGCTAAACAAAGAATCCAGTTTGGCTTTCTCACATTTAACATAACACTGTTCACTGAGCTCTATTATTTTCAGTTCCTAATTGTGTTCCAGCCACATGACTGGGTCCTTTGTACACATCACCTTTGTGTGTGTGTGTGTGTGTGTGTGTGTGTGTGTGACAGTATTAGAGCTTGAACTCAGGGCCTCACAGTCTTTTGTACAAGGCTGGCTCTCTACCACTTAGGCCACACCTCCATTTCTGACATTTTGGTGGTTAATTGGAGATAAGATACTTTGAAGGACAATCTTCCGTTCTCAGCCTCCTGAGTAGCTAGTATGAGCCTCTAGTGCCTAGCACCAGTTCTTATTTGCTTTCAAGTTCTTATTTGCCGTGCTTCTTTGGGAAATGTATTCCAATCTGCTTATTAAAGTTCCATGTCCATTCTCCATAGAAATGGAGGAAAAGGAAAATTAAAAACATCTCCCTGCATTCAAAGAGCTTCTATGGCACCAAGGAAAGCACTTGTTCCTCTCTGCCTGAGTTTCCTCCTCTGCCCACATAAAGGGAGGCTGGTTGTAATGAGCAGGGCAGAGGAGGCCAAGGCTGGCACTCACCAGCTAGGGAGGCCCTGGGCCCAGGGAAGACCAGCCTCCCCCATCCCAGACACAGAAAGGCCAGCTCTTGGTCTCATGCCCCTCCACACACCTGCTACGATGACAGAGGTGAACCCGAAGAACATCCCCATGGCCATCTTCTGCAGGGCTGAGGGCAGCAGCTTGCAGCGCAGCAGTAAAGGGTCGAGCAGGTGGTCCTTCACAGGGACCAGGATCAGCACCACTACCACATTGGCCAGGAGGAGCCAGGCTTCAGGGATCTGGGTAGGAGAGAGCCAAGAGAAGCATGCTGGCAAAGCAGAGGGAGTTATGGGTTGGCCTCCAGAATGTTCTTGAGTGAGTGACCCAGGGACAGTTCCTGACCTTCTCTGGAATTCAAGCTCCTCAGCTATGTATAACCAGGGGATGGTATTAGATCACAGATGTGATCTATATTCTGTCTACTCGTAATGTTTGCTTAGAACATTTGTGAGCTCAATGGGAATGTATCATGATTGATTGGTGATGTCTGCCATGGGCGAGGAAATGAAGTATAGTTGCAAATAAATGTAGCATTTACCTGGCAGCTTTAAAGAGCTTGAATTTTATGTTTTTACAATGCCAAAGAACTGGTTTAGGAAGATGTGAGAGAGAGGAGAGGGGAGGGGAGGGAGAGCAAGAGAGAAAGAGAGCGATTCAAGAGTCCCAGCAAAGTAGGAAACAAGTAGAGTGGAACAGAACCTGTGCATGTTCTGCCTCCATCTGGCCTGAGCTCAGAGTGGAACACACATTTTCAGTGTGAGTGTGAGATGGGTATTAGGACTTGAACTGAAGGCTTGGCTCTCCTTAGGTTATTTTGCTCAAGGTTGGAACTCTACCACTTGAGCCACAGCTCCACCTCAGGCTTTTTGGTGGTTCATTGGAGATAAGAGTCTCACAGACTCTCTTGTCTGGGTTGACTTCTAGCTGCGCTCCTCGGATCTCAGGATTGCAGGTGTGAGCCACCAGCACCCAGCTCTAAGCACACATTTTTGTCTCTCACCCTGTAGTTTCTGTGCTGGGCTTTCAGAGCCAAAGAGCTGTTTGTAGGGCTGGCCGAGAAAATGTTGGGGATGTAAAGGTGGAGACCTTGCAGGACATAGGTGGACTGCATCTGTGGAAAGAGATGGAGGAGACTGGGTTGGTGCTCGCTGGACTCCTGACCCTGGGGCTGAAGTTCTCAGATCCCCCTTTCCCAGCCCAAGGAAGCCACCCTCCCCTAGTCAGGGGGAAGCCACCCTCCTCTCCCCCTTGGGAACCAGCCTGGAGTAGGGTGACCAGAGGCCTCCTCTGCCCCTCCCTCAGCCTTGTCCTCACTGCCTGGGCTCAGCTGGTTGAGCTAGGGTCTGGGTCTCCAGGGCCTCACAACAGAGTGGGTATGGGTAAATGTTTGTTGAAATGGAAAGGATAATAAACTTAGCTGGCCCCACAGGGAGTCATCATCTGACACTGAAGCCAGGCTAAGTCCCACAGGTTGACACAGGCAGGCACTGCCATTGCTTTTTTTTTTCTCCTGGCCTTGGGGCTTGAACTCAGGGCCTGGGCGCTGTCCCTGAGCTTCTTTTGCTCAAGACTAGCGCTCTACCACTTGAGCCACAGCACCATTTTCAGCCTTTTCTGAGTAGATTATTGAAGGTAAGAGTCTCATGGTCTTTTCTACCTCGGCTAACCTCAAACTGTGATCCTCAGATCTCAGCCTCCTGAGTAGATAGGATTCCAGGCGTGAGCCATCAGCACCTGGCTGGCATTGCTTCTTTAGTGGCCGTATGGCAAAAGCCCAGGTGACTCCCTAAGGAGGTGCCAAGGGAAAGGAGGGCTCTGTGGTTATACAGAGCAGAACCACTTAACAACTGGTATGGAAGGAGGTCAGTATTCAGCCACGATATCAACCCCTTGCCCCTGTCTCATCTCTGTGCTACCTGTAGTAGCCTGGCCCAGCCTTAGGCTGCTCCAACCTCGCAATGGCCTAGACCCTGGGGGTTAGACTGCTACACACACACACACACACACACACACACACAAACACACACACACCTCTGCACAAAGCATCCATACTCACATACATGCATATATGCAAGCACACACACATGCAGGTGCACACAATACACCAGCACACGAATGTGCAAGTGTGTTTGTTTACCCACAAACATAAATCTGCCTGCATTCACACACCTTCACTTATGCCACACACACATGCACACATGTTGCATGCACACATGCATGCATACATGCACATGTATACAACACATGCACCACCATCCTTCCCCAGGGAGATGCTCCCAAGAATGAAAGATGCTTGACTGTCAGCATCTTCTAAGACATCTGTTAATGCTGTGTTTTCTCCAATGATTCTGTGGCCTGAGTTCTTTTTGCTCAAGGCTAGTGGTCTACCACTTTGAGCCACAGTGCCACTTCTGGTTTTCTGGTGGTTCATTGGTGATAAGTCTAATGAGCCAGGCATTGGTGGCTCAGGCCTATAATCTAGTCACTCAGGAGGCTGAGATTTGAAGATCGTGGTTCAAAGCCAGCCTGGGCAGGAAAGTCTGTGAGCCTCTTATCTTCAATTAACCACCAGAAAAACTGAAAGTGGTGCTGTGGCTCAAGTGGTAGAGTGCTAACCTTGAGCTGAAGAGCTGAGGGACAGCCCCCAAGCCCACAGTTCAAGCCCTACGACCGACATACACACACACACACACACACACACACACACACACACACGAGTCTAATAGACTTTCCTGCCTGGGCTCGCTTTGAACCACAATCCTCAGATCTCAGCTCCCTGAGTAGCTAGGATTACAGGTGTGAGCCACCGGTGCCCACTTCCAGAGCTTCTCTTACAGTCACCGGGGACTAGTCTTTGATGGCATGGTGCCAGGCCCACAACAGCTGGTAAACAGTAATGATCACTCTGCCCCAGCCTTCCTGAGGGCCTGACACTTCTTTTTTTTGGTGGGGGGGTCCAGTCGTGGGGCCTGAACTCTGGGCCTGGGCGCTGTTCCTCAGCTCTTCAGCTCAAGGCTATCACTCTACCACTTGAGCCACAGCACAACTTCTGGCTTTTTTTTTTTTTGCTTATGTGGTGCTGAGGAATCGAACCCATGGCCTCAAGCATGCAAGGCGAGCGCTCTACCACTGAGCCACCTTCCCAGCCCCTGAGATTTCTATAAAGATGAAGAGAAGTGGGGGGAGCAGTGATGGGAGCAGACTCCCAGCATGAAAGACAGTGGTGCTTACCTGGAAGTACACCATCCAGTAGGGCACCAGCGTCACCATGACTGGCAAGATCTTCACCAGTACCTGGAAGTTGGCAACATCCTCTAGGGAGGAAGGACCAGGCTGCCAAGACCTATGGTCATGCAGCAGGTGGGCATGCTGAGGGTCTCTGTGGGGCCACAAGAACAGCAGAGAAAGGGTGGCATCGTTATCTTATCACTGTAGTTACCACTGTCACCTCCATAATCCCCTGTGATCCCCATTTATCAGCCCTGGCCTCTGGAATGACCCTTCCCCCATCCCCCTGTTAATATAAACTGTGCCACTGTCAATATTAGCATAGTGTGTGTGTATGTGTGCCACTGTCAATATTAGCATAGTGTGTGTGTGTGTGTGTGTGTGTACAGGTATTAGGGCTTAAATTCAGGGCTTCACACTCTGATTTGTCTTTTCTTTCTTTCTCTTTGTTTGTTTGTGTTTAGCATGGTGCTCTACCACTTGAGCCATACTTCTACTTCTGGCTTCTTGCTAGTTAATCAATTGGAGGTAAGATTCTTGAGAGTTTGCCTATCCAGGATAGCTTTGACCCTGGATTCTCAATTCTCAGCCTCCTGAATAGCCGAGGATGACAAGCATGAGCCACTGGCACTAGGCTAATATATCTATTGTCTCTTTTGTGGCCAAGGTGACCAATCAGACTCAGGCCAGTCTGGAGGTGTGGCCTTGGGTGCAGGGGAGGGGGGAATCAGACCTGAATCTGTGCTGAGCAGAGTCTTTAGGGAGTGTTTAGTGCTTAGTTCATGGCATTGATTTTCCACAGGAATCAGGGAAGTTCCAGTCCAGATCTGCCTTCAAGGCTGCCAGGCCCAAATTCCCTGGCTACTTCCCCTCAAGTCCATCCTTTCCCTACACAAGGGTGGAGAGAGGGGGTGCAGAGACCAGCACCACAGCCTCACCTTTTTCCCTTTGTCTGGAGAGTTTCTGGCCCCTTCCTGTCTAGGACCATCATCCTTTAGGACTCTAAAAGGGACAATATCAGTGTATTCATCTCCAAAGACAGCTGCCGTCAACTCCGGCCCTCCTGCTATGCAATGCTCCCTTCCACCAGTGTAGGAGTTCTTTCTCCTGCCCTGATCAGAACATTTATTTTTTGCAATGTTCCCTCCTCTTTCAAACCCAGACACTAGGTGCTGAGACTCAGATCACTACTTTGTCTCAGGCCACAGGAGGGGGAAACTGAGATTCCCCAGCAACAGAGCTCATCGACTGTCAGCCACTTAAGTGAAGACATCCTGGCCTTTTCAAGTCCCCAAATGATGGCAGCCCTGGTGACATCAGGAGCAGTAGAAAATTCTGTCCCATTGAGCCCATCACCCACCGAATTTGGGAGAGGGTAAATGGAAGGATGTGTAAGCACTAAATTATCATATTTGTTAGATAACAGTGAATAATTAAAACATCCTGATGGAGCTGGTGGCTCAGGCCTGTATACTCCTAGCAAATCAGGAGGCTGAGATCTGAAGATCATGGTTCGAAGCCAGTTGGGACAGGACATTCTATGAGATCTTATCTCCAATTAACCACCAAAAAGCTACAAGTAGAAGTGTGGCTCAAATGGTGGAGTACCAGCCTTGAGTGGAAAAGCTAAGAAAGAGTGCCGAGGCCCTGAATTTTAGCCCCAGTAATGGCACAAAAATGAATGAATAAACAAGTTAATAATGATTCTGACAAACTTCTAGCGATGTAATGGATTGAGCAAGGCAAACTCTTTACCTTTTCCATGTGGATCTTACTAGCCAGAGTTCCAAGGTCTGGAGACAGATCTGCTTAAGCCTAAGTGTTCAATTAAAGTAGGAAGGACAAAAGGAAGCCAGGACCACATGCAAGACCATTCAGAACCTCTTTCTCTTAGATGTCAGCTAATGGAGGAGGGAGCAAGACTGGCTGATTTCTTAAGACTACAATACTTCATTACCGAACACTGTAGAATTGTTCATATTATAGCCCAGTGACCTTCACGCCACCATTACCATCCCCACTGTAATTGTTACCATAACCAGTGTTTATCTTCTTTTGTCCTTGTTTTAAAATTAGCACTTACTAATTTTTTGTTGTTGTTGTTGTTGGTTGTGGGGCTTGAACTCAGAGCCTGGGTGCTGTTCCTGAGCTCTTTTGCTCAAGGTTAGTGCTCTACCCCTTTGAGCCACAGTGCCACTTCCAGATTTCTGGTGGTTAATTGGAGATAAGAGTCTTATGGATGGGGCTGGGAATGTGGCTCAGTGGTAGAGTGCTTGCCTCACATGCATGAGGCCCTGGGTTCTATTCTTCAGCACCACATAAACAGGGACAGCACCCAGGCCCTGAGTTCAAGCCCGACGACCAACCAAAAACAAAAAAAAGTCTCAACAAGGGAGGAGGCAACAATGCTTGATAAGAAATGTACTCATTACATAACTGTAACCCCTCGGTACAGTATTTTCACAATAAAAAAACATTAAAAATCAAAAAGAGTCTCATGGACTTCCCTGCCCAGGCTGGCTTCAAACCAGGATCCTCAGATCTCAGCCTCCTGAGTAGCTAGGATTACAGGTCTGAGCCACCAGTGCCTGGCATACTGTGATACTTTTATACATTGTGTTAATCTTCATTGTAGGCACCAACATGTTCATTCCCACTTGTGTCATGCCCATCTCTGCCCAAATCATACCCATTCTCATGGTTTTTACAGCGAGAGGCTCACCAATAATGCTACCATCACTGCTGGACACAGATGGCTCACAGTTGTCACCTTAGCCACTCAGGAGATTGAGATCTGAGACTCAAAGTTCAAAGCCAGCCTGGGCAGATAAATCCGAGAGACTCATCTCTAATTAATTAACCAGCAAAAAAGCTAGGAGTGGAAGTATGGCTCAAGTGGTCATGTGCCAGTCCAGTCTTGGGCAAAAAAAAAAAACTAATCTAGAGTGAGAGTCCTTGAATTCAAGACCCAGTGCTGACACATACAATTAATATCGCCGCCATCACCAGCTGCGGAGGGCACAGGTCATCATCAAGGGCCATAGCTGGAGCTGAACAGAATGTCTAAAGTTGGATCCATGCCTCCTGGGAAGCTCCTTCCTACCTTGCTGATCGTCTTCGCCATAGCTGGGGACAGCAGTTCTGGAAAGCCAGCTTAAGCATTGAAGACACTTGGCTCCCCGTGGGGGGCTTGGTGATGAAGACAGGGGTGGCAAGGAGGAAGATTAAGAATGCTAGGCCCACACAGCCCATGATGATGATGAAACCCAGCAGGAAGTTGATGTTCTGCTGGATGAAGGCTACCAGCAGCAGCGACAGGACGGCGCCCAGGTTGATGCTCCAATAGAACCAATTGAAGAAGCGACGGGTAGCATCGCGGCCGAGATCCATCACCTGCCAGCCAGCCAGGGGGTGAGAGTGAGGGTCTGGGAGCCCAGGGGGATTCTCCGGGCCTGTACCCATCCCTCCCACAGGGCAAGTCTTGGGCCAGGGGATGGGCAGTTTCCTCATCTCTGCTCACAAAGTGGACACTGAAGAAATACTTGTTGAGTAAACCAATGAACCTTTCTCTTGGGAGCCACTGTTCACGATCAGGACATTTTAGCACAGCTGTTTTTACATGCCCAAGGAACTCATTGCTTTTTAAAAATTGTCACTAAGTAGGGCACACACACAGATGTCTCCGAGGCTGTGTTGTTCACTTGTGGTTGATTTATCCCTTGGTTGTAGACTGAGCAACCGCTATTGTGCTTTGCTTTTATAGTCAGCTAAAAGCTCATAAAGATCCAATTACGCTCCACACTATTAAATATGATGCATGCATATGACTATAAGAACATTTACAAGCCTGCCTGAAAATGTCCTCTGCAGCTTGGAGATGCGGGGAATTGTATGTGGCCTACTCCTCCCTCCTTCCCTCTCTCTCTCTCTCTTCCTCTGTGAGAGTCAAACAATATCAGCAGAATTCAGGAATATGTAAGGAAGAACCCCCCCTCTTTTTTTTGTCAGTCGTGGGCCCCAGCTCTGGGCCTGGGCGCTGTCCCTCAGCTCTTCAGCTCAAGGCTAGCGCTCTACCACTTGAGCCCCAGTGCCACTTCCAGCCTTTTCTGCTTCTGTGGTGCTGAGGAATCAAACCCAGGGCCTCATGCATGCAAGGCAAGCATTCTACCTCTGAGCTACCTTCCCAGCTCTGGGAAGGAACCCTTTTGAAATCAGGTTCTGACCTGGTATAACACACACACACACACACACACACACACACACACACCTTTTCCAGGCACTTTAGCACAAACAGATGGATTGAAAATCTTTCTCCAGAGCTTGTATCAACCTTTCATCATCAGGCCCCAGTCCCCACTTTGGCTGTTGGCTCTGGGTGCATTGACTGTGGCCCTTCCCAAATCCTGGTCCCAGCTTTGGACTCAGGTCTTAGGCTGGGCCCAAGGAAGGCGTGTGTGTGTGTGTGTGTGTGTGTGTGTGTGTGTGTGTGTGTGCAGATACTAGACTTGAACTCTGGGCCCGGTGCTCTTCCTTGGCTGATTTCACTCAAGGCTGGCACTCTACCACTTGAGCCAGACCTCCACTTCCAGCTTATTGCTAGTTAATTGGAGATAAGAATCTCACAGACTTTCCTAGCCAACCTAGCTTTGAACCGCAATCCTCAGATCTCAGCCTCTGGAGTAGCTAGGATGACAGAGGGGAGGCCCATGTGCTGGCCTGCATTTCCAATATAAGAAGTAAGAACTAGAGGACACTTCTCAAGGTAACATCTCTACCTTGTTCAGCCAGCCACCTGTTCAATAACTCGCCAACTCTGAGAATCTAGTGTTTACCTTCCCCCCAGAGCTATATAATCCCACTAGCTACAAAGATTTTTGTCAAGCTTGACTACCTGTAGTTGCAGTGGGGAAAAAGCTAAATACTTTGCTGCTCCTCTAAAATCATAAGCCACACCAGTGTGTGCTTGTCATTGCATTCGGGGAGATTCTACAGTGTCCTCTTGGTGATAGAGAGGGAGGGGGCACGTCACCCCTCCCCCACTGCTCTGGACTTTCAAGAAGAAAATTGAATTAAGTCCCGTGATGAACAGACACATCCATTTATTAATTGGAAGTAAATGCATATGACAATTGTAACTGGAGGAGAAAGAGCTGGCAGCCCATTTAGGATATAAACTACTTCTTCCAGGCACTTCGTTGAGAATGATGGATGGCCCTTTCTGAAATCAGCAAGTGTGTTAAACACATAGCTCCTGGGTAGAACCATCTGCCAGATGGTGCCAGCCTCACCCCTGCCTGAGTCCTCTCCCTCAGAATCTCACTCCCCCAGAATTCTGCAGCTGCAGCCCCCCTTTCCAGTGAACTAGTGCATCCACTATTTTTGTTTTTGTTTTGTAGGTTGTAGGGCTTGTACTCAGGGCCTGGGCACTGTCCCTGAGTTCTTACGCTCAAGGTCAGTGCTCTACCACTTTGAACCACAATGCCACTTCCAGTTTTCTGGTGGTTTATTGGAGATAAGAGTCTCATGGACTTTCCTGCCTGGGCTGGCTTTGAACTGTGATCCTCAGATATTAGCCTCCTGAATAGCTAGGATTACAGGTATGAGCTGCTGGCACCAGGCTTGTGCACCCAGTCTTATTAGCTCAGCTGTCTCACGTTGTAGGGGAGCCATTTGTAAAAAACAAAAACAAAAAAACTTCAAAAACCTGGCGCTGGGAAGGTGGCTTAGTGGTAGAGTGCTTGCCTTGCATGCATGAGGCCCTCGGTTCGATTCCTCAGCACTATATAAAAGCAGAAAAAGCCGGAAGTGGGACTGAGGCTTAAGTGGTAGAGCGCTGGTCTACAGCTGAAGAGCTGGGGGACAGGGCCCAGGCCCAGAGTTCAGGCCCCGCAACCGACAAAAACAAAAAAAAACTCCTCCAAAAACCTGAATCCAGCAACTTCAGTGTTTCCACACTGCCTATTGCTCCAGGCTCCGTTTTCATATGTGGGCTGAGGCTGGAGCTTGAACTCAGGGCTTAGCTGCTGTCCTGTAGCTTTTTCACTCAAAGCAGGCTCTTTATCATTTCAGCTAAGCCTCCACTTCCAGCTTTTTGTTGAATAATTGGAGATAAGGGTCTCACAGATTTTCCTGTCTGGGCTGGGCTGGCTCTGAATGGCAATCCTCAACTCTCAGCCTCTTGATTGGCTAGGATTACAGGCAGGAGCCACCAGCGTCTAACAGAGGTCGGGATTTCTTTTTTTGTTGTTTTTTTTTTGGGGGGGGGTCCGGTTGTGGGGCCTGAACTCTGGGTCCCTCAGCTCTTCAGCTCAAGGCTAGCACTCTACCACTTGAGCCACAGTGCCACTTCCATTTTTGTTTTTTTCATTTTTCTTATGTGGTGCTGAGGAATTGAACCCAGGGCCTCAGGCACACAAGGCAAGTGCTCTACCGCTGAGCCACCTTCCCAGCCCCAGAGGTTGGGATTTCTTAAGGCAGCTTTCTAGTCCATCTCAAGACTTGTAAGACTCCATCTCAGCCAGAAGCTGGGTGTGGTGCCAGCTACGTGGGGAAACACAAATAGGAGGATCACAAGACTGGATGGCCCAGACATATAGAGAGACCCTATCTCAAAACTCATCACTGAAAATGGCAGAGTGACTTAGGAGGTAAAGCAGCTGATTAACAAGCATGAGGTCCCAAGATCAAACTCAGTACTCCCCCAAAACAAAACAAAAATCCAGAGAAGCCTTAATAGTCTGGACCAAGGACCCTGGATACTGAGGACTGACAGTAGAAGGCAGCTAGATGGAATGATTTGTGGCAAAATGTCGCCCTAGTGTTGGGGACAGAGGCTTGAGTGGCTGAGCACAGCAGCGGGGGAGGGGAGGTATCGTGAGTCCAATGGACCGAAGACAGGACGGGTGCAATCTGTTTCCGGTGTGTCACCTGTCTGCGCCTCTGTCTTTTCGCATGGCTGCATAGTCTACGTGCAGTTCTGTACGGCGTGTGCCCATTCACCCTGTGTTGTGTTCAGGATCGCCCAAAGTAGCTTAAATCATTGTCTACTAACCTGCCGCAAACAGCTAGCAAAACATGATCATGCTATGAGTGGATTGCTCATTCATTTAAGTAAATATTTGCCAAATCTCCTCCACAAGCCACACACTGTCCAAGGGGACTGGAGGAAGACCAGAGGATGAGACCCATGCCCAACCGACCCCAGCTGGTACTGGGCAGAGCTGGGATTTGACTGAGCTGCCCCTCAGTCTTTGGCACTGCTGGTCAGGAAGAAGATGGCTGGAGTGAGGTAGTTAACAGGGTCAAGTTAGCCAGGTGTTGTAATCCTAGCGATTCAGGAGGCTGAGATCTGAGGAGTGGGGTTAAAGGCCAGGAAACTTTGAGAGACTCTTCTCTCTAATTAGCCAGAAAAAAAGAAAGCCAGAAGTGGAGCTGTGGCTCAAATGGTAGAGGGCCTTGAGCAATAAAGCTAAGTGAGAATGATAGGTCCTGAGTTCAAACCCCAGAATCAGTACTCGCGCGCGCGCACACACACATACACACACACACACACACACACACACACACACACAAAGTCAAGTTAAAAACAATAAAAAATAATAGGTCTGGAGCCGAGGACATGGCTCTGAGGTGGCCAGCGGTGGTTAATCCTGCCCTGGGTCTTGCTTAACCTACTGAGGCGGCCTCTACTTCTTCCCAATACACAAACTGTACCAGAGAGGGAAGTGGTTTGTCTGAGGTCATATCGGGGTCCAGCATCTCCTGACTGTGGGTCTGGGCTCCATATGGAAAGCCTGGCTTTGGGGGTTCCTACCTACCCAGCCACTCACCTGATCGGCCCCAAAAGAGGTGAGGTTGCTCCTGACTGAGCTGGTGGCCAGAGCAAGCAGCAGCAGCCCTGAGTACAGGACCGGTGCGCAGTAGGGTCTGGGCCAGGCGCGCTTGCAGTTGAAGGAAGGGCAGGGTGGCTCCAGAGGCGACAAGGACATCTCCCCACAGAAGGACAGACGGCCATCGGTCATGGCGGTGGCCAGCAGCAGGCCCGAGGCAGCCAGGTAGAGCAGCAGGCTGAGTACCACGGTCCGGTAGCGGCTCAGGTACACATCGGCCAGCCAACCACCCACGGGGGCCAGCAGGTAGGATGCACCCAGGAAGACCAGTGCAGCGCGGGACGCCTGCTCACCAGTCCAGTTGAAGTTCTGGCTGTTGAGGTAGAGCACGAGGTTGGCCGCCACGCCGAAGAAGGCGGCCCGCTCCAGCAAGGACACCAGCAGCACTGCGGTCCCCGCCATCCGACGCCACCCTCGGGGTCCCCCAGCACCCCGGGGCAGCAGCGGCCTTCGCTCCTCTGCTGCCCGGCTCTGCTGCTCCCGGCTGGGCATCGCGGCCCCTCCCTCCAATCAGGCCCGCCTTCCTTGCCTGAACCCCTTGTCCTGAGCTTCCTTGCCCTGGGGGTCTTTCTTCTTCCCCTCCCTTCCCCCTCTTCCTCCTCCCTCCTTCCTTTACCCTGGGCTATCTCTACCCCTCCTCTTCTTCCTCCTCCTCCCTATTCACAACTCCCTCCTCGCACCCCAATCCCTTCCTACGGGCTGATCCCCCTCCCCAGCCTTCACCCCGAGACTCTTCCCAGCCTCCTTCTCCACCTCTCTTCCTCTTTCCGGCTGGCCAGCTCGGTGGGTCAGCCTTTCTTAACTGTTGTCCCTCCCTCTATGCCCCCTGGGCTGTTCTGGTCCCCCACCAGCCCCCCATCCTCTCCATCCTCAGATTGCGTTCTCCCTCCTGTCAGGCCCCCAGCCCATGCCCGGCCTTCCCCTCCCCAGGCTCCGCCTGGCTCCCTGGGCTGGCTTCTGCTTCTTGAGAAGTCGGGCTTCCCCTTTCACTGGCCCTGTGGCTGCCCCAGGTCACATGGTTGTGAGGAGAAGTGAAAGGCTGGGCGAGGAGCCCCGCATCCAGCTTCCGAGCACCCTCCCCCACCCCGCCCCGACCTCACACCAACACCCAGATTTTCTTTGCCACTCCTCCCTGCCTCCCCAATCAACCGGGAGGAGGAAATCCTTTCAGTTTCATTTCTTCCCAGGATCCCACACTGAGCACCCGCCTCTGTCCCTCCCGGTATCCCAGGCTGCAGGATTGGAGGCCACACATGCTATGTTGAGGGGCCCTGGCCCATTTCACAGACGCAGGGACTGGGCCCCAGTGGGAGGCGGGGTGGGGAAGGGATCTAGGGACCCACTCGATCCTGACCACCAAAGTGGGAAGATAAATCACGGCTGGGTGAACATCATGCAACGCAGATTGCACAAGCGCTGCTGCTGAGGAAGGAAGCAGATGCCCAACCGCCCAGGGCGCCGCACAGGGCCCCAGCTAGTGGAGAAGGGGAAGGGCAGTGCCCGTCAGGGGCCATCGCGGCTACTGCCCTACTCAGGACCAGAGCCAGCCTCATGTAGACATACAAGCAAGCCTAACAGGAGAGAGCTGCCGTGCTGGTGGCTCCCATCTGCCATCCTAGCCACTCACCAGGCTGAGATCTGCGAATTTAAGATCAATGTGAGTCAAGGTAGACTCTTATCTCCAAGGATCTACCAAAAAGCGACAAGTAGATGTGTGGCTCAAATAGCAGAGCACTAGCTTTGAGCGAGAAAGCTAAGGGGTAGTGCCCAGGTCCTGAGTTCAAGCCCCAGTATAGTTTCTCTGTCTCTCGTCTCTCTCCTCTCTCTGTCTCTCTCTCTGTCTCTGTCTCTGTCTCTGTCTCTCTCTCTCACACACACAGATTTCTTTTTGGTCAGTCATGGGACTTGAATTCAGGGCTTGGGCACTGTCCCTGAGCTCTTCTGCTCAAGGCTAGCACTTTACAAATTTGAGCCACAGTCCACTTACAGTTTTCTGGTGGTTAATTGGAGATAAGAGTCTCACAGCCTTTCCTGCCTGGGCTGGCTTCAAACTGTGATCCTCAGCTCTCAGCCTCCTAAGTAACTAGGACGACAGGAGTGAGCCACTGGTGCTCAGCAGAAAAAATGGTTTTTAACCTTTATGTCAGGTAAGAAGCCGTGCTGTAACATGGAGGGCAAATCCATGAAGGTGTGGGGCTTAGGGAGACAGTGAGAAAGCAGAGCTCTTCACTCAGGTACTGTCTAGTAGCCAGAAACCGTGCGCCTTGTGTAAGGCAGGCAGAGACTACAGGACAGAAGCTGACTCAGGTGAACCACCCTTGCTTCTCTTAAAGAAAGCTTGGGATCACAGCCCTCCGGGTCTGGGGATGACATGCAGGCCACCTCAGACACAGCAGCTTTCTCTCTTGGCAAGGCCATTACCCTGGCAGAAATGACAAATGACATTCCACAGGGCTGAGTCTTCCATGGGACACGGCTGATATATCATGGGTGATCTTCAGGGGATTGTGGATAGAGATACGGTTTCTGTGAAGAAACAAGAAGAGGAGGAAGAAGAAGTGGAGGAGGAGGAGGAGGAGGAGGAAGGAACAGAAGGAGAAGGAGGAGGAAGAAGAAAATGATGACAATGACAGCAAAATATGGTGACACATCATCCTATACCCTGGCACCCTGGAGGCCCAGGTGGGAGGATCAAGAGCTTGAGGCCAGCCTGGGCTACATAGACCCTGTCTGCAAACAGAAAGGAGAAGAGTGAGAGTGTGGACATATGGAAGAGGGAAGGGATGGAAAGGGGAGGAGAGGAAATCCATGACCTGTGGCATGCAGCAGTGCCCACCCAGCCTCCAGCTTCCAGCCTCCATGCAGACAGGGGTGGTTTCCAGGGGGAAACCATGGGGTATACTGGGCCAGGAAAAGGAAGGGGCGATTTGCATTAGGCACACAGGGGAAGTAGTGTTCTGAAAGTAGACGTCATTGTCACCAAGACATGAATAACAACACTGCTCAGTGTAAGGGGATGAGAGCAGACTTTTAGCACTGAGGCGGCCCAGGGCGGAGAGCGGTAGCCACAACCCATAAACCTGTGAGGCTTGTGCCAGGTAGAGTTTAGCCACATGGTGTCAAGATTTTTCTCTTTGGTTATTTTTTCTTATTAAACATTTTTTTTTCCAGAACCGGGCACTGGTAGCCTCATGCCTAGCATCCTAGCTACTCAGAAGGCTGAGATCTGAGGATCACAGCTCAAAGCCAGCCCTTCCAGGAAAGTCTGTAAGAATTCTCTCCAATGAACCACAAAAAAGTCCGAAGTGGTTGGGTACCCATGGCTCATGCCTGTAATCCTAGCTACTCAAGATGCTGAGATCTGAGGACTATGGTTCAAAGCCAGCCCAGGCCAGGAAAGTCCATGAGACTCTTACCTCTAATTAACCAGATACAAAATAGCTGGAAGTGGAACTGTGGCTCAAGTGATAGAGTGCTAGCTTTGAACACAAAAGCTCAGGGCAGCGTCCAGGCCCAGAGTTCAAGTCTCAGGACTGACAAAAAGTCAGAAGCAGAGCTGTGGCTTATGTGGTGGAGTGCCAGCTCTGAGAGAAAAAGCTAAGAAACAGCATGAAATCCTCAAGTTCAAGCCCCAATACTGGCATATATGTGTGCGTGTATGTGCACACACACACACACACAGACACACGCACACACAAATTTTTTTTTTTTTGTCGGTTATGGGGCCTAAACTCTGGGCCTGGGTGCTGTCCCTCAGCTCTTCAGCTCAAGGCTAGCACTCTACCACTTGAGCCACAGCGCCACTTCTGGCTTTTTCTGCTTATATGTGCTGAGGAATCAAACCCAGGGCTTCATGCATGCAAGGCAAGCACTCTAACACTGAGCCATCTTCCCAGGTCCCCGCCCCCCCCATATTTTTAAAGCCTGGCTTATACCTATAAACATCTCTAGTCAAGAGACTGATATTTAAGATCAAGGGTTGAAACTGGCCTGTCAGACAAGTCCTTGAGAATCATCTCCAATTAATCAGCCAAGAATTGGAGGCAAAACAAGAGATAGAGCTTCAGCTGTGAGCCAAAAGATTTCACCATATTGGGAGAAACTGGGTTCACATCCCAGTGCCAGCACCCAATTTCAAAAAATTAGCTAGCTCCTTAAAACTATTTGCTCAAGCTGGGAGCCTGTCATCCTAGCTACTCAGAAGTCTGAGATCTGAAGATCGTGGTTCAAAGCCAGCCTGGGCAGGAGAAGCTATGAGACTCTTGTCTCCAATGAACCACCAAAAAACTACAAGTAGAGCTGTGGTTCAAATGGTCGAGCGTTAACCTTGAGAAGAAAAACAAAACAAGGCTTGAGGATAGCACCCAGGCCCGAGTTCAAGCCCCAGCACTAGTACACACAAACACATGTGTTTGTGTGTGTATATATAAAGTTCAAGTCTAGGAATTGCATAGTCCTGCAATCATGTGCCTGCTACTAGACGGGGAAGTGGCAGCAGCCCAGTAGAGCGAAGTGACAGACTGAGGCCCTGACAGGCCTTGGTTGCAGGCCAGTGCCCCCCTGAGCCTCACTGAGCACGCTGTCGGGGAGTGAGGAGCAGAGGCTGCATTGTGGAGGGATCTCCTGGAGGCCGCAGGAGGCCATGGCCTCCTTTAAAACAACAACAAAAAAGAAGAGCTGTCTGCTAGGAGGAAGTTCCAAAATGAGGCTCGAGGCAGAGCTCTAGCTCGACCTGCTAGAACCCTGTGCCCTTATTTTTGTGGCTGAAAACAAAACAACAAAACTAAACTTGGTGATGCCATCTAGACCTAACTTTCTGCTTCTGGGCACTATTATTATTATTATTAGCACCATCAGTGCCGCCCTGCTGCATCGCCCACAGGTGATAGAGATGGGCATCAAATGGACAGGCTTATTTCATAGGTGTGAGAGAAAGTTCTTTCTCAGGTCTACCTGAGGTCTCTCACACATGCGAAGCAACTGGGATTTAAGCTGGCTCACCTATGATCTGTATCTGTGGGTGCAGCCTGGAGGATAGGTAGAAATGAAAACAGACCACTGGGAGGAAAGTATTTCGCCACGGTATAGTGAGGGGCCTTGGGACAGACAGTAGTCCTTCTCAATGTCCTGTCTAAGTCAGGAATGGTCCATCTCTACACCTTACCAGTGCCAGGGGTGGTCCTTCCCAACACCCTGCCTAGGCCAGAGTTGGTCAGTGCCAACATACGCCATCGAAGAGCAGGTGCCACGTGGCATCTACAGCCTCACACCCTCCACAGCCTCTCCTCCTTAAAGGAGGCGTGTAGCTGTGTGTGGCAGCAAAGATTGAGAGCTGCTAGTTCCTTCCTGCCCACGATCACCAGGGGTAGAATAGAACAGACTCCTATCTGAGTCTGTGCAGCAGAAGGAGTAAGCAGGGGGCCACCGCTGAGCGTGAGGCCCAGCTGAAGGACTGGCCTAGGGAAGACGGCGGGAGAAGAGGAGCCATCTTCATATTGTCTGTCTTGTCCCCTCTGGGCAGCAACTTTCCACCATAGTGATGGAAAGCTAAGACAAATGACCTGAGGGGAGTGAACTTTGAAGG